TAAATTTATTAATCATTGTATCAATTTTATCCATGTTCATGGTAATCATAGAAACATATGGTAGATTAAGTTGGAATAAATCACGTTAAAAATCTATGAAATCAATAATTTTAATATTTTGTAATAATTCTTATAAACGAGTGTAAATTAAAGAATAATGCTTACGCTTTCACCCAAACAAATAACCACAAATAATCCTAATCTTTCACTATAATGTTCAATATTTAAGGCAGCTCTATATTCCGTAATTTTAAGTACAGAAAATATATCAGTCCATTTCCAACGAAATTCGGTTCCTTTTGTTCTCATTGCCTTATGTGGAGTGAGTGGTGATGATTTGGTTGAATCCATTGTCAAGGTTGGTTCGTCTGCGGGTTCAAAATCTCTTGTATATATCTTAGATCGGCAACGGTAATATAATGGCACAAAACCTAAGTAATATAGATGATAAATTATGAAATTAAATTTTACAAGAAATATATAACACTATTCATAATTCGTGCAATAACTTACCATACCAAAATAATTCTTATAATTTAATTGAATTTGATTATTAAATTAAAAATTTCGATAAAAATAATCAAAAAAAAATTGAAATCAACAAACCAAATGCAACAGAAGCCCACAACATAATAACAACACAGTTCTGTGGTACAAAAATCGCAGCAAACCAAACGGCAGAAGGAATAATAATCCCCCATGCAGAAGTGATAAGATGTATTCGAAACATTGGAATCCACATTGCATATGCTACATACATTAACGCGTATGTTAAGCGCGCAAGTACGTAGGATGCTAAAATATAAAAAAGAAAAATACTTTATACATTAGTAAATTTACAAGATATGAACTCTTTAAAGATAAATTTTCATTTGGATAGCAAACATACAGATAAAGACGCCAGCTGTTGCATCAAATATATCTGACGCATGAGTACCCATTACAATTAGAAGTATCATTTCCTGTTATGAAAAATGATTGATGACACCTTCTAGAGAAAGATAGCTTTTAAAGTAATACATTAAATCCTACCCATAGGAGGAAGAGCTTTTCAATAAGGTCCTCTGTTGATTTTTAGATCAAATTAAAAAAAAAAAAAAAAAAAAAATACCGCAAAAATAAAAAAAATTACGGCTACAATAGACTTATTTAAATTGTACAGTACATACCTGAACTATAAATGTTTATATAAAGACATGTATCCGTCCACAAACGCCATATAGGATAACTACGTATATTATCGTTGTATAAAAACGATAATTAAACATCTATTCATGCCCACCAAGTTGAGACAGTAAATTTTTATGTAGTGGATTCCTACAAGGTTAGGAAAAATCTTTGCAAACCATTTAGCGAAATGTCAGACGTCAGCTTCGTTCCTAAAATGCTAACCACAGCCACAAATATCAAATCCCAAAATAATTCCGAATAACTAGATGATCTTTCATCAGCTTCTCTATGTAAAGCGCCTTTATACCAATATTGCCTAACTCTTGGTCTTCTCTGAATCGTGAATTCAAATAAAATGAATTTATCATTTGATTATGAGTTTCTGCTAAATATCGATTTTAATTACCGCTAATCTTTCACCATCATCATCTTCGTCAGCTATAATTTCTAATTTTTGTATGCTACCGAATGTATGAACTGATAACAATAAACATAAAAGAATTCGTCAAAAGTTATAAATACGTTAATATAAAAAACAGATAAATTGCTTACTTGTTGCATGAATAGTATCACTACCATGACCTAATCCTTTTAATTCTTCAACTAAATGATCAAGTTGTTGAGTTACACTTTCTGATCTTTCTAATGCTTCGGCACGCTCCTGTTCTAAGCGAGTTGAATT